TCAAGCTCGTACGAAAAGATCAGACTCCAGGTTTGGATTCAGGCAATTAAAACACCCCTATTTCTAGTGCATTGTAACAGATTGTTTTACACTCAGAGCCCCATTTGTCAGTATAATTTGCATGCTCATTTGACAGAAAAATCCTAGCTTTGGGTAATGGAAAGAGTTTCCATGAACTACTGAGATAATACTATGGCTTTAAGAGGTATATTTTGTCCTTTTTTTTTTTAAAAGAAAGGGAGGTTTTAAGACAGGAGGTATCAAGCCATCTACTTGAATCCAATAAAGTAAACAGGTTGAGGGGCCATGGGCCTTTTGTTTTTAAAAAATGCTGGAACATTACAAACAGCCTGAATGGGTGGGGTGAGGCTCCCCTACAGCCAGGATTTTTAGTTTTACTTACTCAGTAGCAATTGCTGGGATCTTAAAGCTGGCTTTGGAAGCTGCAGTACATCTCTCCCTACTACCTCTTCCTGAGTTTTCTCAGGATGGTTTTCCTCCTCGACTGGAGGATTGCCTGTGACACTATTTTACTGAATTTGACTTTGCCAAGGATGTGTTTACAGGGTGTTACTATACTGGAACAGTTACTGTTTAGTAGTTAAATAGTCTATTATTCTGTTAAGTTAGGGTCTTACAGAGTTAAGGTATTCCACTTTCTTTCTTCTTTTGCTGTATTTTAACTATAGTGTATGAGTAAAGTGTGTTTTGCTCCAAATCTGGTAGTTTGATCAATCAGTTTGCATCCAGAATGCAACAGCTGGCACTTGCCTTTAAAAAGAGAAAAAAAAAATTTGGACCAGGCTATTTTCTTAACATTGAGAGTTTGGTCAGGTCCATAACAGTAAGAATAAAACAGAGTGCCTTTAGGTCACCAATGATAAAATCAGATCAAATAAAATTCTACCTCTACCAGTCAGAGGGTGGCAATAAATACCTCCAAATTGAGCGCCTCAGTCAGAAAAAAATAAAAAAGGATGTCATTCATATCATAGATCTGAATCTTTTGTATCTGTAGCAAATTAATTCTTTTACTCCACAAGTTTCTTGGTTATTTTATAATTCTCTTCAGCCCTGTATTTTCCAAGGGTGTGCTCAACACAAATGTTGCTACATCTGGTCTTACTGAAACTGATGGTTTAAAAAAAAAAAAAAAAATCCATTTCAATAGTTCTCAGAATAGTGCAATTTCAATTAAAAGCTGTTGGGGCAGGAAAAGCAAGTCAACTGTAACAACTGCAGCAATGCTTGATTTCTGGAAGGCATTTAGAAGCACAGTTCAAACTGGATCTGAAGCAGGTTTCTTTTAAAAAAAAGATCTAGGGAAAGAAAGAGTCTGATAAAGTTAATACACTGCTTGGACAAAATTTAAAAAAGTTATCAGAGTCTTTCACAATCTGATTAGCGATATTAAAATAATTGCCTCAAAACTCTGAAAACTATTAAAATGCATTTGAAATAGAATTCCTAGTTCCCTTTCAGGATTCCTCGGAGGACAGAAGCAAAACCAATTTAAAACAAAAAAAATCAATTCAATCCATACACCCAAACTTATTTCACATTCATTAATTCATTACCAAGGCCAAAATAAAACAAACAGCAGTTATTACCATCAGTGCTTAGAATAGAAGATTGTTCACTTCAGTCATGGAAATCAAAATGGCTATTTAATAAAGATTCAATAAAGACACTCAATCATCAGAAATCACGACAGTTTTCATACTGAACTGAACAGAAAACTGTTTAAAATCATTCCCCTGCAGCATTAAGCAGAAACATTAGAACCAAGGCTCTGGTGGAATCTAAACCACAATAACAGTACAAAATTAGTTAACAGCAAAATTCTGGGAATTGCCAGAGGACACATCCACTACACACCTTGCCCAAAACCAACAAATATAGAGAATATAGAGTCAGTGTCATGCAGCACAGAAACAAACCCTTCAGTCCAGCGCAATCTCAAACTGAACTAGTCCTACCTGCCTGCTCCTGGTCCATTTCCCTCCAAACCTTTCCTATTCACGTATCCACCACTTCCTCAGGAACTTCACTCCAAACACAGACCACACTGTGTAAAAAAGCTGCCTTTTGTGTCTTTAAAAACTCTTCTCCCCTTAAAAATGTGCCCCCTTGTCTTAAATACCCGACTATAGGGAAAATACAAATACCATTAACACTATTTATACCTCTCATTATTTTAGAAACTTCTATCAGGGCACCTCTCAAACTCCTATCCCCACCCCTACCCAATGAATTTTAGAAGATGCCCATGTGGGTCTGTCTCTTTTGAGATTGTGTTAAGATTTGATTAAAACAAAAGAAAACAATTTAAGCATTCCAACACTTCAAGGCATATAAATTGAGCTCAGATTCACCAAGTTTAAATTTGTCAAGGGAAATGTACAGCCAACAACTCACTGGAGGAAGCAGCTCCACAAATATCCCCCTCCTCAAATGATGGAAGAGCCCAGCACATCAGTGCAAAAGATAAGGCTGAAGCTTTCACAGCAATCTTCCATCTTCCAGCCATAAGCGAGATGGATATCCACTCTGCAGTCTCCTCCAGTGGACCCTAGCATTACAGATACCAGTCTTCAGTCAACTCGATTCACTCCACGTGATATAAAGAAATGGTTGGAGACACTGGATACTGCAAAGGCTACGGACCCTGACAACGTACCGAAGACTTGTGCTCCAGAACTTGCTGCTCCCCTAACCAAGCTGTTCCAGTATAGTTACAACACATATCTGACAATGTGGAAAATTGCCCAAGTATGTCCTGTACACAAAAAGCAGGACAAATCCAACTCGGCCAATTACCACCCCATCAGTCTCCTCTCGATCATCAGTAAAGTGATGGAAGGTGTCATCAACAGTGCTATCAAGCAGCACTTGCTCAGCGACGCCCAGTTTGGGTTCTGCCAGGGCCACTCAGCTCCTGATCTCATTACAGCCTTGGTTCAAACATGGACAAAAAAAAAAAAAAAAGGGAATTCCAGAGGTGAGGTGAGAGTGACAGCCTTGACATCAAGGGTGCATTCGACTGACTGTGGCATCAAGGAGCACTAGCAAAACTGGAATCAATGGGTATCACAGGGCAAACTCTCCAGTGGTTGGAGTCATACCTGACACACAGGAAGATTGTTGTGGTTGTTGGTGGTCAATCATCTCAGTGCCAGGACATCTCTGCAGGAATTCCTGAGGGTAGTGTCCTAGGCCCAACCATCTTCAGCTGCTTCATCAATGACCTTCCCTCCATCATAAAAGATCAGAACTGGGAATGTTTGCCAATGATTGCACAACGTTCAGCACCACTCGCAACTCCTCAGATACTGAAGCAGTCCATGTTCACATGTGGGAATATCTGGACAATATCCAGGCTTGGGCTGACAAGTGGCAAGCGACATTCGCACACAAATGCCAGGCTATGACCATCACCAATAAGAGACAATCTAACCACTGCACCTTGGCATTCAATGGTAACACCATTACCAAATCCCCCGCTAACATCCTGGGGGTTACCATTGACCAGAAACTCAACTGGACTCGCCACATTAACACAGTGGCTACAAGAGCAGGTCAGAAGCTAGGAATACTGCAGCAAATAACTCATCTGACTCCTCAAAGCCTGTCTGCCATCTACAAGGCACAAGTCAGGAGCATGATAGAATACTTCCCACTTGCCTGGATGAGTGCAGCCCGAACAATACTCGGGCAGCTTGACACCATCCAGGACAAAGCAGCCCGCTTGATCAGCAGTACATCTACAAGCATCCACTCCCTCCAGCACCAATGCTCAGTAGCAGCAGTGTGTACTATCCAGAAGATGCACTGCAGAAATTCACCAACAATCCTCAGACAGCACCTTCCAAACGCACGGCCACTTCCATCTAGAAGGACAAGGGCAGCAGATATATGGGAACACCACCACCTCAGAGTTCCCCTCCAAGTCACTCACCACCCTGACTTGGAAATACATCACCCTTCCTTCACTGTCGCTGGATCAAAATCCTAGAATTCCCTCCCTAATAGCCTTGTGGGTCAACCCACAGCAGGAGGACTGCAGTGGCTCAAGGCAGCTGCTCACCACAACCTTCTCAAGGGCAACTAGGGATGTGGCAAGAAATGCTGGCCAGCCAGCGACACCCATGCCCCACAAATGAATAGAAAAAAAGTGTCTAAAACGTTACCTTGGACTTAGTCTACGAGAAACAATTCAGATCAGTTACTTCCCACAGCTTCAAGTTCGACAAAACAGCAATCCACAATTTTCCAACAGCCAAGTGAAGTCTTTAGATTTGTTGTACACCTGTTTGACCAATACAGCATTGGTAGCTCACATGTAGGATTTTGCCATTATTACTCTTCATTGTTAGGCCAGTGAAAACACGGCAGATGAAACCAGAAAGCAAAGGAGGGTTAGATTGCATGGAGGCTTTACTTTTGCCTTAATGCTATCGGTCAAGGTTTCTCCTTTCACTCATGAGTTGTATCAGATGACAAGTGGGTTTTCCTTTTCCTCTCCCTCCCTTTATGGAATGTTTTACAATCCAGTCATAAATTAAAACCTTTAAGCATCATTTGTAGATTCTGGCAAGTTCACCATTCAATACAATAACAAAATTAAAAAAGGAAATTAATTCTTGTGCATTTTCTTTTATCTTGTACTCAAATCTAAAGGGGGGTGGGGTGAAAAAAAGATAAACACATCAACAGGCAGCAGGTAACCATACTACAGGCCACCAATGCAACATTTAGAAACCAGAAGTTAAGTTTTAGAAAGGGCTGGGAGGAACTGGATGCCATGACATTGGGACTATTGAGCAAGAAATAACAAACAAAAATCAAAACAAAAAAAAGAAGGGATCGAGTATTCTAGTTCAGACAATCCTTGGCCCCACCAACTCTGGTGAGACAAACAGCTCCAGAGTCCATTGCTTTCCTAGGTCTTTCCTATGAAATCTGTGCAAATCTCACCAACTACACCATTTTTTATTGCTGTGGTTGGGGCCTATGTGTTGCAATGTTTCAATTCTTACCTGTTCAAAGTTTATATTAACTGAAGGTCATTGCCTGCAGTCAAAAGCCAGAAACACCATATCCTCAACTCAAATCACCTATTCATACACATGGTTCTGATTAATTCAAGCCACGTAGAAAGCATTCAGTCCAGCTCACATGTAACACTAACTCTCCACTTACCAAAAGCTAGTGACTAAATGAAAATTAAAAGCAAGTCAAATAGAAGCAAAATACAGCGGATGCTCAAAATCTGAAATAAAAATAAAAAAAGTGCTGGAGAAATTCAGTGAGTCTGGCAGCATCTATAGTGAGTGCATAAGAGCACATTAATGTGGAGTCTAGCATGACTTCTTCAGAATAAGAGGGTAGTTCATTGTACTTTAAATGCTTTGCAATGATGAAGTGTTTTCATTTGCACAGTCCATCAATACAGTTCTTCTCACTTGCACACAATTGATTCTGTACACACTAGATATTTCACTGGCAAACTATGAATTCATGAAAAAACCTGACACTGATACCTTGAGTGAATTTGAAATTCAAAATAGGAAGCACAAACTCTCCTCCAGTAATCCACCTAATGTAAAGCAGATCAAGGAAAGATTTGCCTGAATAGACTCACTTCAAAGTTGGAAATGAGAAAAAAAGTCCTGTTATGTTATATCCTCTCAACAGCTGCTATAATCAGATACCTTAATTTCTGTCCTTGAAATGAACAAAAATTTGAAATATATTTTTTAAAATGCTGCAAAAGCAAAAGATTTCAGTTCTCATTGAAAATGCACATGACTAGAGAGGACTAGTCATGATTAGCATACTAGAAAACAAAAACAATATTCAGGAATAAAAACAAAACATTAACCTAGGAGGAAATCTGAATGTACATAAATTCTGCTGCATTTGTATTAAGATATACATACCCAATGTGGAGAAAGCATTTCGAGTTCTTTTAAGATCTGCAACATCATCTCTTTCATAAATATAAAAATCACCTCCTTGATTCACAAAGTAGTAATCCTTAGCACTACCTGGAAGGAAAGGAGTCAAATTTATGGGCCAAGTAATGGAACTGCATCATGTGAAATTTAACGTTTCCTTCTTGCTTGTTTTAATGTAAAGCAGTGTCTCCAGCAACAATGGTACACCAGGTGGCAAACAAGCTTTCATCTCGATCTGCCTCCCACAAGCCTTAGTCACCTAATACCATTGGTTTAGGTAATAAAAACAAAACTGACATATTCAGAATTTGAGATTCCACTGGCATTAAAATTCCTAGCTTGTTAAAAGTCATGTTGTAATGATAATCACGCTCCTTCACATCGATTTTCCTCTCTGCATAGCTTTGTGGAGGCAATATTTCAATTGGTCACAGTTACTTGAAGAAATTCAGCACAAATACAATTATATAAAAACGATTCTGCTTTATGGATACAGCTTACATATCCGTGACATTTTTACTGTTCTATGAGAGAATGTTCCAACACCATGTTTCTGGAACTCTATCAACTTTTTGGAACAGGATTGGGTCATAACAGACTGCAGCCTTAGAACTTAGTTCAGTTGGCTAGAGTTCTCAAGTCATTCATAACAATGTCAACAGCTGAGGTTCAATTCCCATTCTGGCTGTGGTAGACAGGAGACCTACCCCCTTGCCTTGCCCTTGAAAGGATAAGAAAAGGGCAAGTTACCAATCAAAAACTGACAAGGAAATAGCTCAGGTTGAAGCATTGGCAGGCAATGAAACACGAACTTGCCTGGGGAAGAGCACACAAGACATTAGGAGGAATGGGAGTCAAGAGCAAGATTGAAAATAATTCACAAAAACGTTGACAACTTAACACAAAATATAGCAATAAGTGACTTCACCAATGGCTGTGCTCCAAATTGCATTTGCAAACACAAGTGCATTGAAGAAGTTAGACAATATAATCCCGGTGTCTTCAGAGTAATTTAATTTTTGGTTCAAGCATCATTTAAAATAATGGGGGGAATAAGTTACAGCCAATTGTCTGAAGTGATTCAGAAAAGACTCATCAAATATGGCAGAGTCACATTACGCATTAAATTTCTTGCCCACACTTACCAAGATCCAATTCAGGAAATTCTCCCAACTGAGCTGAGGCACAGAGTTGATAGAATATATGATAATTCCTTTCCTCAGCAACCTGCAAAGTTTATAATTAAAATGTTGTAGATATAATTATCAGGAAGTTTAAAAAAAAAACAACAGGATATGTAGCATGCTCTAAACTAATGGAAACTCAGGAGACTAGCACATTAGACTTGGGACCAGCCTTTGGACAGAAGAATGTGTGTACAGGTTAGAGAGAACAGTAGGACAGAGGCAAATGTGGAGCAACCAAGACAAGGGGCTTTGGGCTACTATTCACAGCTAATAGTGAAAGGTCCCAGCAGTAAGGTGACCAACAAATTTGTCACACTTTCAAATGACAGATACAATTTCCAAGGAACAAGTTATTTCAGCCAAATCAGGAAATAGAGAGACAGAAACCAAAAGAACTGTGGATGCTGTAAATCAGGAGCAAAAACAAAGTTGCTGGAAAAGCTCAGCAGGTCTGGCAGCATCTGTGAACGTTTCAGGTCCGGTGACACTTCCTCAGAAGTGATAGTGGCTGGGAAAACGTCAGTTTATATGCAGAAAATAGGGAGGTGGGTGGGTAGAGTGTAAATGACAGGATAGAGCCCAAAGAGACAAAGACAGTTGGACAGACAAAGGAGTTGCTAACGATCAGGCTGGGAGGGTGAATAGTTGTTAATAGGGACTGTTAGTGACTAACAGGGAGAGTGTAATGGCAGGCTGTGTGGTAACAAGGCCTGGTGTGTGGGGCACCTCATTTTCCCTGGGGACTTACAGCCCTCCAGGCTCAATATTGAGTTCAATAATCTTAGGGCCTAAACTCTCCCATGTCCCAGCCCCCTAACCCACACACCAGGCCTTGTTACCACATAGCCTGCCATTACACACCCCCTATTGTTAGTCACAAACAGTCCCCATTAACAACAATTCACCCACCCAGCCTGATTGTTACCAACTCATTTGTCTGTCCAACTGCTATCTCTCTCTCTCTTTGGGCTCTATCCTATCATTTACTCCCTACCCCACCACATTCCTATTTTCTACATATAAACAGATGTTTTTCCCAGCCACAATCAGTTCGGAGGATGGGTCACCGGACCTGAAACGTTAATTCTGATTTTTCCTTCACAGATGCTGCTAGATCTGCTGAGCTTTTCCAGCAACTTTGTTTTTGTTGTGGGTGAATGAAGAGACAAAATCGCTTTCTTGCAATTGATTGCATGCACCACTTAGGTATATAAACAAACAAGATTCCGGGGGCTTTATTAGAGATAAAGCAAACAGCTATCTTGGAGAAAAAAGCACTTGGAGAACGTTAAGTCCTACACCGTGGAGAAATGAGTAATTAGCTTGTAAACAAAGTTTAAATGAGCTACATTACACACTTGCAGAATTGAAGACTCAATATTGGAAAGTCAAAAATAGAAAAGGCAGAATCTTTGCAAATTACCTTTTCCCTGGAGTTATTACTCATTTATAAATAAGTCACTTCCTAGGTTATGTTCCATACTCATGTTTGGAATGTTAATAGAAAACAGGCTTGGTATCTGCATGAATAAATTTATTAATGGGATACTTGGAAGGCACTTGATGCTAAACAATGTGGTCTGTCTTGCTGCAGAAATGCAATACATCTTTAACTGATATCCCCATGATGTTATGGCACATGAACTAAAAATTGCAGAAAATCTGCAGTAAATCCAAATTTGGGCTGACAAGTAACATTCATATCAAATGCTGGGCAATGATCATCTCCAACAAGAGAGATTCTAACCATCAGCCCTGACATTCCATGACATCACCATCACTGAATACCCCACTATCAACATCCTGGGAGTTACCATTGATAAGAATTGAAACTTGATTAACTATATAAAGTACATTGGTTACAAGACCAGGTCAGCAGCTAGAAGTCTTGCAGTGCATGACTTACTTCTTGACTCCCCAAAGCCTGTCTACTATCTACAAGGCACGAGTCAGGAGGATGGAATACTCCCCACTTGCCAGGTGGCGTAAGAAAAGTATTACTGAGAATTCAATGAACATATCCAACATCTCAGTAGAATGTTGTTTGGAGCTGATAAGTACCACATGATAGCTGGTAATCCATGGCTATCAATTTCTAATTACATTTATTTATTTATTTATTTTTTAAAAACAGGGATACAATGATGATTTAGCCTATGCAGAGGACTGTTCAGGAGATCCAAAGATGCATTGAAAGTGTCTGCATGTTAACATTTTTTTATCAAGCCATTAGATCCAACTAACTACATTTATAACAGTATACCAACTAAATCTCCTATTCTGTTGCTTGTGAATAACTCAAAGTTATTACACTAGAATAACAGCAGCACAAGGATTTTTGTATATGTAGAAAATACATTTTAAACCCAGACAAGGGACAGAAAGCATTTACAGATATCTCAAATAGAGTAAAGCATCCTTTACCTGAAAAACCACCCGTGATTTCTCCAGTAAGTATGTTCTCATATTGGCCCCCATAATGTGATACCTACGATCGAAACTGATCTCAATATATTTTCCAAATCGACTACTGTTGTCATTTCTTGTAGTTTTTGCATTTCCAATTGCCTATTGGAAAATGAAACATTGTGGCACCAACATTAAAAATAGCCAATTAATGCTCATCATTACTATAAATGATTTGGATGTGAATAAAGAAGGAATGGTTAGCAAGTTTGCAGATGACACCAAAATAGGTGCAGTAGACAGTGATGAAAGTTATCAGAGTACAACGGGACCTTGATCAGATGGGCCAAGGAGTGGAAAATGGAGTTTAATTACATAAATGTGAGGTATTACTTTTGGTAAATGGGGGCAAACAAAAGCAGGACTTATGGGGAGTGTTGCCAAACAAAGATGTTTTGGGGGGGGGGGGGGGGGGGTGCGGTGTAGAATCACAGGTAGGCAGGGTGGTGAACAAGGCATTTGGCAGGCTTGCCTTCATTGGTCAGAACATTGAGTATAAGGGCTGGGATGTTGTTGCAGCTGTACAGGACATTGAGGCCACTTTTAGAATAGTGGTGTGCACAATTCTGGTCACCCTTCCATCAGAAAGATGTTAAACTTGAGAAGGTGCAGAAAAGATTTACAAGGATGTTGGAGGGTTTGAGCTGTGGGGAGAGGCTGCTGAATAGGCTGCGGTCTTTCCTCACCGTTGTGATCCCCCTCCCCTCACAATCTTGCAGAGGTTTATAAAATCATAGGGGCACAGATAGGGTGAACAGCCAAGGTCTTCTTCCTAGGGTGGTGGAGGAAAACAAAAGGTTGCAGGTTTAAGGCAAGAAAGGAAAGATTTTTAATAAAGGACCCGAGAGGTAACTTTTTCACGCAGAAGGTAGTGCATGCATGGAACAAGCTGCCAGAGGAACTGATGAAGGCAGGTACAATTACAACTTTTAAAAGAGATATCTGGATGGGTATATGAATGTAAAAGCATTTTTGAAAGGGGTATGGGGCAAATGGGACTAAATTTCTCTCGAATATCTGGTCGACATAGACAAGTTGGACCAAAAAGGCCTGCTTCCATGCTGTACAGCTCTAATACATTACACCATTTAATGACAGTCCGAACAAATACAGTGCAACTAAAAAGTGAGGGATAGAGGGGAGAGACCACACTATTTGTCTTTCATTAGAAAGAACGAGCTGTGCCTTTTGCCATGATATTCCTGTACAGCTACAACACTGACAACTATTTGACAGAACAGTTCAATCATTACAATACATCCACAAAAAGCAGGTATTCCAAGTATTTAAAAAAATACTGCCAGACCTTTAAATCAAGCCTACATACATGTTAGTGTACAAAATATACCTCCATGATGGGGTTGGATGCTAGAAACTTCTCCTCTACATTGGTTTCACCTGCAGATCCTCCAACAGTTGCAAAATAGCGCATTATGTACTTAGCAGACAGAGTTTTTCCTGCTCCAGATTCTCCACTGATTATAATGGATTGGTTCTTTTCTTCCCTGAAAAAAAAAATTAGATAACTTTCTCGTATCACCATACATCCAGTTATGAAAAACTGGTAGGGCTAACATCTTTAGCTCAATTTATTTCAACAGAAAAAAAGAGCCACAGTACCCTACAACACAAAAAAGGTAAAGCCACAACAAAATGGTGGATGAAAACATTGAATGAAGACAAACTCCAGTCTCAGTAGAGAAAGCATTTCAAAGTTAAATGCAGGTCAAATATAAAAACATGAACATTCCAAATTCATAACTCAAATACAACCAAACCCAACTCCCCACCACATTAGCAAAACAAACCATGAAGAAAACATTAAAATTTGAACCAAGTCAGAAAGGTTAGTTTGCCATATACTTTACTGCCAATTAAGTACATTATCAAATATTGTTGTAATTGTGGGGAAAAGTGATCAAAAACATTTTATGCAAGTGCAGAACATTGAACCAAATGACCTTCAAGCTAACGCAAAATTATGCAGCACAGTTGTTTAAAAAGGCACAATTATGTGCAAACATTTAAGCCCAACTTCTTATTCCAGAGGTCTAACATCTAGTTAGTATTGATTGATGTCAAAAGATTAAGTAAAATTGGGAACTAATGAACTGAACATGAAATATACAATGAAACAAATTAGACCAAACTAACCAAATAGGTCATTCAGATAATTTAGGCTCATGCGCGGCATCTGATTGAAAGCACAACACACAGGCAATGAAGGTCATTCATCAACAAGATGAGAAATACAATTAGATGCAAAGTTAAAAGGGATTCATCTTTATTCAGCAACTCGATTAGCATAGCTTTTGGTTGTGCACATTTAGCAAAAATACTTGGTGCACATTACTTCTATAAACGAGACTTGCACGTATGTAATTAAAAAAGGGAAAGTCAAGTTGTCTTGGTAGTCTTAAAATTTATAGGACTAGAAGCGTGTTTTGGTCTCTTGCAAATCGAATCCTAGCATTTATTGCAAAAGAACTGGATTGTAAGAGGAAATGGTGTTACAATTAGAACACATTGATGAGATCACACCTGGAATATTGGTGGCCAGTTTTGGTCTCCTTACTGGAGGAGAGATATGGTGGCACTGCAGGCAGTTCAGAAGAGGTTCACAACATTTCAACCTGGAACGGTTGAATAGCTTGTGCTCTCTATAGTTTAAAAGAACAGGGGTGGTGGGGTGAAGTCTGACTTGGGTATATAAAATGCTAACAGGGATTGAGAAAGGTGGATGTTGAACAGATGGTCTCCCCTTCTTTGGGGGACACAGTCCTGAACAAGAGATCATCGATATAGAGTGAGGCGAGTTAGGTACAAAATGCAATGAGAAAAAAAAAACTACTTCTCTCAGGAGGGATGTGAATCTGAACGCTCTGCCCCAGAGTGCAGTAGAACATAAGAACATAAGAACTAGGAGCAGGAGTAGGCCGTCTAGCCCTTCGAGCCTGCTCCGCCATTCAATAAGATCATGGCTGATCTTTTCATGGACTCAGATCCAATTACCCGTGTTCTCACCGTATCCCTTAATTCCTTTATTGTTCAAAAAAATCTACCTTATCTTTAAAAACGTTTACTGAAGTAGCATCAACTACTTCACTGGGCAAGGTATTTCATAGATTAACAACCCTCTGGGTGAAGAAGTTCCTTCTCAATTCAGTCCAAAATCTGCTCCCTCTAATCTTGAGGCTATGCCCTCTTGTCCTAGCTTCACCTGCCAGTGGAAACATCCTCTCTACTTCTATCTTATCTATTCCCTTCATAATTTCATATGTTTCTATAAAGATCCCCCCTCAATTTTCTGAATTCCAATGAATATAATCCCAATCTACTCAGTCTCTCCTCATAAGCCAACCCCCTCAACTCCGGAATCAACCTAGTGAACCTCCTTTGCACCCCCTCCAGTGCCAGTACACCCTTTCTCAAGTAAGGAGACCAAAACTGCACACAGTACTCCAGGTGTGGCCTCACCAGCACCTTGTACAGCTGCAACATAACCTCTCTGCTTTTAATCTCAATCCCTTTAGCAATGAAGGACAAAATTCCATTTGCCTTCCTAATTACTTGTTGTACCTGCAGACCTACCTTGTGATTCATGCACAAGGACACCCAGGTCCCTCTGCATAGCAGCATGCTGCAGGTTTTTACCATTCAAGTAATAATCCTTTTTACTATTATTCCTACCAAAATGTATGACTTCACATTTATTTACATTGTATTCCATCTGCCAGGCCTTTGCCCACTCACTCAACGTATCTATGTTCCTCTGCAAAGTTTCAGTCCTCTGCACACTTTGCTCTGCCACTCATCTTAGTGTCATCTGCAAACTTTGACACCCTACACGTGGTCCCCAACTCCAAATATTCTATATAAATTGTAAATAATTGTGGTCCCAACACCGATCCCTGAGGCACACCACTAGTCACTGACTGCCAGCTAGAATAGCACTCATTTATCATCACTCTTTGCTTCCTGTTAGTCAACCAATCCTCTATCCATGCTAATACTTCACCCTTAACGCCATGCATCCTTATCTTATGCAGCAGCCTCTTGTGCAGCACCTTGTCGAAGGCCTTTTGGAAATCTAGGTACACCACATCCACTGGGTCCCCATTGTCCACCTCGCTCATAATGTCTTCATAGAATTCCAAAAGATTTGTCAAGCATGACCTGCCCTTCATGAACCCATGCTGCGTCTGCCCAACTGGACAATTTCTATCAAGATGCCTTGCCATTTCTTCCTTGATAATAGAGTCTAGCATCTTCCCCACTACAGAGGTTAAGCTAACTGGTCTATAATTCCCCATCTTTTGTCAACTTCCTTTTTTTAAACAGTGGTGTCACATTTGCTGTTTTCCAATCTGCTGGGACTGCCCCAGAGTCCAGCGAATTTTGGAAAATTACTGCCAGTGCATCTGCTATTTCTCCTGCCATCTCTTTTAGTACCCTGGGATGCATTCCATCAGGGCCAGGAGACTAATCAATCCTTAGCTCCATTAGCTTGCTCAACACTACCTCTTCCGTAATAATGATTGTTTCCAGGTCCTCACCTACCTTTGTCTCTTTGTCAATTACTGGCATGTTATTAGTGTCCTCCACTGTGAAGACCGATACAAAATACCTGTTCAATGCCTTGGCCATTTCATCATATCCCATAACTAAATTCCCCTTCTCATGCTCTAAAGGGCCAATGTTTACTTTAGCCACACTTTTTCATTTTATATATTTATAGAAACTTTTGCTATCTGTCTTTATATTCTGTGCTAGTTTTTTCTCATGTTATATCTTACTTTTCTTTATAACTCTTTTTGTGGCTTTCTGTTGACCATTAAAGTTTTCCCAATCTTGTAGTTTCAAGCTGTTTTTGGCCACTTTGTATGCCTTCTCTTTCAATTTGATAGCCTCCCTTATTTCTTTAGACACCCATGGCAGATTACCCCTTTTCTTTCAGTCCTTCTTTTTCACTGGAATATACTTTTGCTGAGCACTTTGAAAAATTGCTTTGAAAGTCCTCCACTGCTCGTCAACGGTCCCACCATAAAATCTTTGTTTCCAGTCTACTTTAGCCAAGTCCTCCCTCATTCTATTGTAATTCCCCTGGTTCAAGCACTGGACCCTGGTATTGGATTTTATCTTCACACTCTCCATCTATTCTAAATTCAACCATACGGTGATCACTCCTTCCAAGAGGATCCCTAACTATGAGGTCATTAATTATTCCTGTCTCATTACACAGGACCAGAGCTAGGATAGCTTGCTCCCTCGTCGGTTCCATTACATACTGTTCAAGAAAACGATCACGGATACACTCAACGAACTCCTCCTCAAGGCTACCCTGACCGAGCTGGTTCGACCAATCTACATGTAGATTAAAATCCATGATAATTGCCTTACCATTTTTACAGGCATTAGTTATTTGTTTATTGCCCACCCCAATGTGATGTTATTATTTGGTGGCCTATCAGTGACAGTAGAGGCAGAATCAATCAACAGATTGAAGAAATAAATAGACAGGTTTCTGATGAAAAGCAGCATAAAGGGCTACAGGGAGCAGGCAGGAAAGTAGAGTTGAGACCAGGATAAGACCAGTCATGATCATGTTAAAAACAGCAGAGCAGGTTCGAGGAGCTGAACTGCTTACTCCCATTCTATATTATGTAGGAACAAAGAAATGACCACCTGCACAAGACCAATGTCAAGACCAGCTAAAGCTCCCTATCAAACCTAGCTTGAAGAGCAGCATATGCTTTTATGAAGAAAATTTTTATTGAGAAATAGATCATCTCCAGCTATCAACATCCAGAGGGAATTAGTAATTACAAGAAACTGGACCAGGCAAATAAGTACTGTGACTATAAAGGCCAGGTTGGATTGGAATTCTTCAGCAAATAACACCTCCTGATTCTCCAAAGCCTGCCCATCACAAGACAAAAATCAGCAGTGTAATGGAATGCTCCTCTTCCCTGAATGAGTGCAGCTTCAGCAACATTTCAAGTTTGACACCATCCAAGATCCACCAATTGCTTTTTGTGCTATTTGCAGAAGTTTCGTTCCTCCCATTCTGTCTAACTGTTGATACATTCCTTACTCCTGTTCCCTCTATATTCCTGCTTTCTGAAACTCTTTCCTGTTTAATTTTTAAAAAGCAAGACATATTCAAATTTCCACCTCACCTACTCAGAATCCCTACAGTGTGGAAACAGGACCTTCGGCCCAACAGGTCCACACCGACAGAGCATTCCACACCCCCATAACCCACCTAATCTACACGTCCCTGAACATCATGGGCAATTTAGTATGGCCAATCCACCTAACCTGCACATCATTGGACTGTGGGAGGAAACCGGAGCACCTGGAGGAAACTCACGCAGACATGGGGAGAATGTGCAAACTCCACACAGACAGTCGCCCAAGGGTGGAATCGAACCTGGGTCCCTGGCCCTGTGAGGCAGTGCTAACCAATGCGCCACCGTGCCATACTCCTTTTTGGATCAATGCTCATTTCCAACATTCATTAAGGAAACACTTAAAAAGTGGAAAACAGAGGTGTTGACTACAGGCCTAGGAAATCTGGCAAGTGGCAGGGCAGGAGAATGAGCCATAAATCACAGATGAGAAGAAATGAGGCAAGAACTGTAACTCCAGCCACTGGAGTGGGGTTAGCCACACCACGCCAACAGCAGCCTTTTTGTCCCACCATTAATTGTTGTACCTTCAGCTGCTTAGTTCCCAAGTAAACGCCTCCAGCAAACTCCTCAGCCTCTATCTCTAAGACTCTTACTAAAAATTAACCCAGGACAAGCTTTTGGTCTTCTCCACTGACTTCACCAGTTCCTAACATTAAGCCATCTGGGGATGTCTATGCTTCAAAAAAAAGCTATTTAAATGCAAGTCATTGTTCAATGCTTAGCTGTGCTCATCATTAGACATCAGTTTACACATCTTTGCAAATAATTCAGCTGCTGCCAATTCAATCCACTAACTACAAGAGACAATTTAGTCAACTTTAAATTACTACTCAGCCCTATATCCTGCCTTTTTTGTTCAGCCTTTGAGATTGCTGGTGTCTCAGTTTGGATAACAAATCATGCTGAACATTCCTTGTGTTTCTTTATGATATTCAACTGGATGCCATTTTGATACAAGAAATCATATTCAACAGCTTTTCAGCACAGCACATTAGGGCCTCAACCTCACATACTCACCTAGCCAGCTGCTTGTATGCTTCCTCAGCAACAGCAAAGATATGGGGATCCATATCACCCACATTCTGTCCACTATAAGCATAAATTACATCATCTCCATAAAGAGGGAGTTGTTCGTATGGATTGACAGCAACAAGAACAATACCTACGAGAAGTTCAAAGAGTTTTAAGCAAATTAAGAATTCAAGGTGACTATTTAGAATTATAAAGTAATTGTAGCATATAGTGTTACTCAACATATTTACACCAGTTTACAAGATTAGCAGAAGTACACCAACACACAGTGCCCCTGATAGTCAAACAGGGGAAGTTATAAATGGGGAACAAAGACAGCAGACAAATTAAATACATACTTCTCATCCCTTCTGAAAACGGAGCCAAGTGTCCCAAACCAGGAAAATAAAAATGGTGTGGAACACAAGGCCTAATGAGGGGGAGGAACTGAATGAAGTGATTTGATTTGATTTGATTTATTTTTGTCACATATACTTAAGTACAGTGAAAAGTTGTGTTTTGCATGCAGTACAGGCAGCTCATAGGGTGATTAAACAAAACGAGGTATACAATGTTACGGCTGCACAGGAGGCGCACAAAAGCAAGATCAACATTAGATTTGAAATTTGAGAAGTCCATTCAGCAGTGTACCATGGCAGGGAAGAAGCTGTTCTTGAACCTGTTGGTACAGGTTTAAGCTTTTGTATTTTTTGCCTGATGGAAGAGGTTGGAAGAGATTATAACCGGGGTGGGAGAGGTCTTTGATGATGTTGGTTGCGTTTCCACAGCAACGAGAAGTGTAGATGGAATCAATGGATGGGAGGTTGGCTTGCACGATGGTCTGGGCTGTGTCTGCAACTTTCTGTAGTTTCTCATGGTCCCAGGCATTTGCCATGCCAAGCCGTTATGCACCCAGACAGAATGCTTTTTATGGTACATTTGTAAAACTTGGTGAGTCTTTTTGGACATGCCGAATTTCCTAAGCCACCTGAGGAAGAGGAGACATTGTGCCTTCTTGACTGTTGCATCTACATGGGTGGTCCAGGACAGGTCAGCTGTTGTTACTCCTAGGATCTTGATGCTCTCAACCGTCTCCTCCTCAGCTCCACTGATGTAAATAGGAGTGTCCTTCTTTTCTTCCTGAAGTCAACGATCAGCTCTTTAGTTTGAGACCAAGCATTCTGACACCATTGTTTGATGGAGAAATTGATTGTATGGAGCCTGATAAATCCCTGACCCCAATAAGTTACACCCCAAAACCCAAAACAAAGCAATAGGCATAATACTGCACAAATGATTTCTCTTATGGAATAGAGCATCACGAATGGCAAACACTTATTTTAAAGGGGTTGGGAGAAGAGGAGTAGGGCAATCTTACTGCAACGCTAAGAAGTGTTGGGCAGACCACATCTGGAGAACTGAGGGCAGCTTTTTGGTCCCCTTATTTGAAAAGGAAAGATATCACCTCATTGGAGGCAGTTCAGAGGAGGTTAACTGGGATGATCCCCAGTATGGAGGGATTGTCTTATAAACAAAGATTAAACAGTTTGGGACTCTAGAACAATAAGAGGTGATCTCATTGAGACACCTAGGATTCTTAAAAGGGGCTTGTCAGGGTAAGCACTGAAAGGATGTTTCCCCACATGGCGAAATCTAGGACCAGCGAGCTTAGTCTCAGAATAAAAGGGGTATCAATTTAAGACTGAGGTGGATTGCGTGAAATTGGAAGTCCTTGTTACAGAGCATTGTGGGCAGAGTCATAGTTTATATTGGATCATGATACAGATAGATTCTTGGTCATTCAGGGAAAATCAAGGATTATGGAGAAAAAGTGTAAGAAAGTGGATGTTGGTGGAACGTTGGACCAGCTTCAATACTGCTAAATGACAAAGCAGGCTTTAGGAGCTGAATGGCCTACTCCTGTTCTTATTTCTTATAGGTCTTAAGCTCATCTAAAGCAGAGAAATAAATTCCAGATTGAAGAGGGAGGTAGGTCATTGACTGAATGCAGGAAGTAAGAGCAGCACAGATTATCCATATTAACAGAGCTGGCAAATTTGCATTCAATTTTAAAAACAAGTAAACTTACCACAATATGTATAAATGTTGTTGAACTCTAAAAACCTCACTTTCATATTGTGAAGTACTGCAGGTTCATGGAGGTAACTGAGTGCAGTCAAGTCATTTTCACCCATTAAAATGTCAGGGTTCCGCAGATATGGCAATTCTTCTGTTTTTTTATTAATGTGATATTCCATGTTCTGCAGCAAAGCAAAATCATTAGAACACATCCTTCCCAAAAAGAAACTCTAGACTTGCCCGAAAAAGGTTCTTTGTTAACATTTCTAGCAAAATCTTTATTTCCATGGTAATTGTAGGGCTGTTCATGAACAAGGAACAAATCAACTGTCAGCATTTTGAGGCATGTCAACAGCTTGGTCAAGAAAAGTAATTAAGAAATCTCTATCACAGTTACTGAAAGAATTAAGCTACAAGATTCCACTGTTTTACAATAAAAAATAATTTTTACTATACAAGTGTCAGACGAAGCAAAACACTAGACACCATTTTTGCTATCAACACAAGTTAAACATTCATGCCTGCAACAATGACATACATTTATAAATTTCTAGTGTCTCGATCTAGCCACTACCTCGTTTCGGCTGCCTGCACTGCACCATTTGAGCCGTGACAGCTGTAGTTCTTATATATAGTTTCAAATATTTTCAGTGTCTCTAAGTTTTGCCTTCCAATCTCTGTTGCAGACTTACTTCCTTCAGAAACTGGAAGGAAGTGTTAGACCCTAATTGACTAGGGTGTCTCAAAAGAAAAAGGTAAAGATAAACTTTGGAAGAACTGATCCCATCACACCACCTATTTTCTAAGCAAATACAGCCAGGCCCCCTTACAATTCACTTATTCCAGATCTAAAACAGTATAAGCACCAGATATCCAGGCAATTACAGAGTTAAGAGTCAGAGTCATACAGCACAGAAACTCATTCTTTGGTCCAACTCATCCACACAAATCAGGCATTTCAATCTGACCTAGTCCCATTTGCCAGCATTTGACCCATATCTCTCTAAACATTTCCTATTCATGTGCCCATCCAGATGCCTTTTAGATGTTGTCATTGTACCCACCTCTACCACTTCCTCTGGCAGCTCGTTCCATACATCTGCATGAAAAACTTATCCCTCAGGTCATTTTTAAATCTTTCCCCCTCTCACTTTAAACCTAATGTCCTCTAGTTTTGGACTCCCTCACCAAAGGAAAGGGACCTGGATATTTACCCTATCCATGCCCATCATGACTTTATAAAAGTCTGTAGGGTCATCCACCAGCCTCCAACACTCCAGCGAGGAATGGCCCAGCCTATTCAGCCTCTCCCTATAGTTCAAACTCTCCAATCCTAGTAACATCCTTTTAAATTTTTCTGAACTCTCAAGTTTATCAACATCCTTCTTATAGAAAGGTAACCAGAATTGAATGCAGTATTCCAATAGTGGCCTCAACAACGTCCTGTACAGCCACAATAGGATCCCAACTCCAATACTAAATGCTCTGACTAATGAAGGTAATCATGCCAAATGCATATGTGCTTTTCATGTCAATGTCCCCGGTATTCACCAGTGTGCACCATGTGGGAATTCTCGCCAACCAAAATTCCTGTATGGTATTGCAAATAGCAGTCCTGGCTAGTAGCGTGGGAGTACATTAGCAGGTATATCTGACCTTTCCACTGGACACCTTGAAATGGGTGACAAACTGGCTGGCAAGGGGTGAGGCAGGAATAAACAAAGTAAGGAATAAGATCAAAGGCAGTGTCAGTGGTGATTGAGTCAGGCAAACAGAGTGAGTATAAATTGGGAATTTGGTTCACAGTGGGAATTAGGTTCACAGTGGGAATTAAGTGCAGAGGTGAAAAGCAGAGCTTTACATAAGGTTTACTTCAAGGTGGTCTCCAGGGATTAGAGACCTGCAGAAGAGGACAAAACGCAGAGTGAGAGGTTGACCTGCAGCGAGAACAAAAATTTATAGTTTTTAAAACATTACTAACATTAGACTGTGTTTAGATCGCTACTTTTCTTCAGTGTCAAAAAACAGGGAATCTAGAATAAATCAATAAATAGATTTAAAATCAAAAATTATATGATAGCAGGATGGGGAACATATTGTTGCTGCACACCACGATGATCCAGAGCAAGCATCTGTAGCAAGTGTTCGTGGATCAAGGATCTTGGGATCAGAGTCAAAGATTTAGAGTCCAAGCTGCATATATTGTGCTACATCAGGGAAGGTGGATACCTTTCAGACTAAGCAATACAAAGTTAGCCTGTGAGCAGGGGCACAACATGACTGCAGGCGAGGCAGATACAGAGACCCAGAGGGTCACATTTGATGACCTTTGCCCCCTGCAATTATTCAGTTACAAAGTTCTTCCAAACCATGTGGAAGAGATTGGGGACTGCAGGGAGGATTAGCAAATTGACCATGACACAGAAACATCGGAAAGCAGACAATGGTAGGGAACAGTACAATTAGAAGGATAAATACTGTTCTCTGCAGTCATGAATACAAGTCACAAAAAGTCTGTGTTGCCTGCCTGGCGCCAGGGTAAGGACATCTCCTCAGGGCTTCAGGGGAACTTAGAATGGGATTGGTCAGATTCAGTTGTGGTACTAACATTGATAGGACCAGAAAGGAGGTGATGCTGAAAGGCTTAGAATAGTCCAGAGCTAAATTACAAAGCAGAACCTTCAAAGTAATCATCTCAATGACTAATTGAGCTATGAGCAAACTGACATCAGATAACCAAAGTCAAGAGTTAAATTTGTGGAGGTGGTTTGGGTTTTCATGCAGCACTGACACCAGTACTGAAGTATTTGGAGATAACAATGTATGGAGCTGGATGAACGCAGCAGGTCAGACAGCAGAGGAGCAGGAAAGTTGACGTTTCGGGTCAGGACCCTTCTTCAAACGGGGAGGGGAAAGGGAGCTCAGAAATAAATAGAGCGAGGAGGGGTGGGTCTGGGGAAGGTAGGTGGGATGTGACAGGTGAGTGCAGGTAGGGAGTGGTGGGGATTGGTCAGTGAGGTGGGAGAGAAGACGGACAGGTTGTGTCAGGTCGAGGAGGTGGGGATGAGAGGGAGGGTTGGTCATGGGATGAGGCTGGGGGTGGAGAGATTTTGAAACTAGTAAAGTCCACATTGAGACCATTGGGCTGTAGGCTCCCAAGGAGGAACGTGAGGTGCTGCTCCTCCAGTTTCCGGGTGGCGTCATTGTGACACTGGAGGCCCAGGATGGACACGTCATCCAGGGAGTGGGAGGGTAAGAGGTGAAATGGTTCGCGACTGGAAGGAGTTGTTGTTCATGATAAACAGAGTGTAGATGCTCTACAAAGTGGTCTCCGAGCCTCTGCTTGGTCTCCCCGACATACAGGAGGCCACATCAGGAGTAGCGGATGCAGTAGGCCACATTTGCGGATGTGCAGGTGAACCTCTGTCTGATGTGGAAGGTTTTTCTTGGTTCGTTGGATGAAGGTGAGGGGAATGTAGGGGCAGGTGTAGCACTTCCTGCTGTTTGCAGGGAAAGGTGCCAGGTTAGCGGGGCTAGTGGGGAGTGTGGAGCAGACGAGGGAGTCACGAAGAGAGTGGTCGCCATGGAAGGCGGATAGGGGTGGGGAGGGAAATATATCCTTGGTTCTGGGGTCAGATTGCAGGTGGCAGAAGTGGCGGAGAATGATATGTTGAATATGGAGGTTGGTGGGTAATGTGTGAGGACAAGGGGGATTCTGTCTTTGTTTTTTGATGGTGGGGGAGGGGCTGTGAGAGGGCAGAGGTGCGGGAAACGCAAGAGATGCAATCGAGAGCATTTTCGACCACCGGAAGCGGGGGGGGGGGGGGGGGGGGGGGGGGGGGGGGGGTGCGCAGAGACTATCTGGGATGTTTGGGAGTGGAACACCCCATCTTGGGAGCAGACACAGCAGAGGCAGAGGAATTGGGAGCAGGGCATCACATTCTTGTGGGAAGGCGGGTTAGAAGGGGTGTAGTCTAGGTAGCTGTGGGAGTCCATGGGCTTGAAATAGATAAATCGGTGTCCGAAATAAAGAGGAGGGGTGGGGGTGAGGCTGGGGAAGGGGAAGGTAGGTAGGATGGTGGTAAGTGCTCCGAAATAAAGAGAGAGGAAGGGTGGGGCTGTCTCTGACTCCAGCATCGGCAGTTCTTACCATCTCTGAAGTAGATGTCCCACTGGAACGGTTTCCAGTCTTCACTTGAATGGGGCTGGGGCCAATGACTTTGCAAAATCATATAACTAAGGCTGAAGAGGAGACTTGGAGGGGGTGGTCGGATGTGGAGTTTGGAAAAAAGCAAAACGTAGGTGAACAAAACAAATTGATGTCACCATTACAGTGTAGCTATTTGGATAATGCCCAGAGTGGGATAGGTAAAGGTAGAGTCTACATACAGAAAACAGCAAATAGGACCAAAGGGAGAGAAAAATTGATAACACAAAAACTAATGGCTCTTCACTTGAATACTTGTAGTAGGAACAAAATAAATGGACTGACACTACAGATGTTAATGGTTATGAAGTTATAGCCATTACAAATACATGGTTACAAGAAAATCAAAGCTGAAATCTAAACTTTCAGGGATATGTAACTTTTCCAAAAGGACAGACAGGAAGGTAAGGTAGCTTTGTTAGTACAAGATAAAGTATGATGGCAAGATGATGTAGATTCTAAATCAGTTAGAGATAAATAAGGGGAGACAATACTGATGTGACTAGTCTATAGGCCCCCTAACAGGAACTATACTCTAGGACAGAATAAAATCAGGAAAGGAGGGAATGCAAAACAATACATTGGTCATAGGGGAACTCATCTTCATGTGGATTGGCAGAGTCAGATTGGCAGAAGTAGTCACACTGAAAAATTCAGAGTGTATTCAGGACAGTTTCCTAGAATGTCTTAGATCCAACCAAGGATCAGCCTGGGTTCTGACAATGCGCACTGAGGCTGGTTTAATATTATGAATAAAAATTTCTTAGGCAACACGGACCATAACATTTAGCAGTTTGAGTGAGAAACTTGGGTTGGAAACAACAGTATTTAACTTAAGGATAATTAGATGGGCATGAGGGCATCGTTGGCCAGAGTGAACTGGAAAGGAACTTACCAGAAAAGACAACTGAGAATCAGTGGCAGTCATTTAAGAAAATAGTTTGTGACTCCACAACGATATATCTCACTGAGAAA